AAAAACCAAAAAAAAAAAAAAAAAATTGAAGGGAAAAAAACCAATCCAAAAATCTGAGTTTTATAGTTAGGGCTTAGTTTAAAGACTTTCTCCATTACTAATTATATTGTCCTTTGAATATATACATACATACGTATATACATATATATATACATGTATATATATACATATATATATAGATAGATAGATATAGATATTCTTTTATGGGAATAGGGTCAATCCCTACTTCTTTGATGAGACCTGGAATTAAAGGAATGAGTACTTAGTCTTGTTGGGCCTGGTACTGCAGGCTTATAATCCCAGCTATGTGGAAGGCTGAGGCCGGGAGTTATGAGTTCAAGGTCTTCCATGAACTTTATAGTAAGCTCAAGGCCAGCTTGGACAATGTAGTGAGACTTTGTCTCAAAGTAAAAATGAAAAATAGGGCTAGGGATAGAGCTTAGCGGAGAGTACCTGCCTTGTCTCTGGGGTTAATCCCCAGGGCTTCGAATAAAAGCTGCTTGATCTCAGAATCTGCACATACCTGACACTTGCAGGGCTTGTGTCTTCTTTCTTCCCTTCCCCCTCCCTCCTTTATTTTCTTTCTCATCTTAAGTGATCCTCCTGCATCAGCCTCTGCAGTAGCTGGGATCACAGGCCGGTGTCGCCACACTTGGTCTTTGTCCTTCTACACACTCTATGTTACAGCTATAGGTCATTCCACTTAATCCCACCCTTGTTCCTGTAAATCTGTCCAGTTCATTCTCGCTGAGAGTTTTTCATGCGCTTTCTTCTCACCCACTCTCTAAGATGATATTGTGCTAAGGGTAGCCTAGGGTACACAGTACAAAGGGTAGCCTAGGGTGCACAGTACAAAGGGTAGCCTAGGGTGCACAGTACAAAGGGTAGCCTAGGGTACACAGTACAAAGGGTAGCCTAGGGTACACAGTACAAAGGGTAGCCTAGAGTACATAGAGTTCCAAGAACCAGGGGACTGGGCTTGGCCCAGCCAGTGGCTTGGTATTGAAACTTGGAAATTCACTTTAGCTTTGTAGGTTTTAGCTCTTTAATCTGTAAAACAAGATGTTCAAATTATTTGATGCTGTGAAAAATTGTGGAAAAAAACAGCCAAAACCAAGTTTGAGTCCAGCTTTTCCCATCTGTTGTTTATTTTTACTGACTCACTTTCTGTGCCTGTGAAATGGGTTACCACTATTGCCCTCATAAGTGTATGGCGAAGGCAATGAACGTGCAGATTTGACACGTTTCACAGCAGATGGGTCCTCTTACCTTCTAACTGTAAGGTCCTAACTGAGATGGTGGTGTGTTTGCCCTTTGCTGGGTTATAGAGCATACATACCCACCAGGGTAAGCCTGCCCAAAGGGATTCTTTTCACATGGAAAGATCTCCATAGTGAAATGATCAACTCTGGAAACTACATCCTTCATCTCAGTGTCTATGATTTCCTCCAAGCAAACCATGAATCCAGACTGTTAGCATATCCACAATACCTATGACCTCGTTTTTCTTGATTTCTCCAGATAATTCGCCCAGTATTTCATCGCAGGCATTTTGGATCATCTTCGTCATTTTCTGTAGATCTTTGTATTCTTGATACATCAACATCCTAGTCTGGCCGATGTTAACATCGAGGACTCCCATAGCCTCTCTTGTTCTTTGGCGAAGTGGAATTACAATGTGGGTTTCTCCACTGCTAGAAGCCAAGATAACTTCTGAAGTGTCTGTGCACTTAAAGAGAAAATCTCTGAAACCAAACCAAACAAGCACGGGTCTGTCACACATCAGCCTGCTTACAGCATCCACCAAGTTGAATTACTCCCTTATGCCCGCCTCGCCCAAGTGCGCCCGCCTTGCCCCAATGCGCCCGCCATCGTTCTATCATTTGCCTAGGGTGCTGTACCCATCACTTTCACGTGACTGTCCTTTGGCTTGACTCAGTTGGATGCTTCTCTTCATGAACATCCCTTCAGCAGAGAGCCTTCCCTGACAAGATCACCTGAGGTAGCAGCCCCAGGTTGGTCTGCATCATGAGACTTCTCTTTACTGGCTGACCGCTGGTGGTCATACTTATCTGGTTAGTTGTTTTTTGTTTTTGTTTTTGTTTTTGTTTTAATGTACTGATAGTCTAAAATGTGTTAGATGAATGCTGGAAGGTTCCCTAGAAGCAGAGCCTCAGACAATAAGCAGATGCTTATGAGGAAGTGCTCCCTGGAGAAACCAGGGGACTGAGGAAGCATGGGCAGATAAGGGGAAGCTAAGTGCGTGCAGATCCAGCCTGCCCAGCCTGGTCCCCAGGAGGAGATCTGGGATGTCAACTGTACCAAAGACTAAGTCTTCTTCTAAGGCAAGCGGGGGCTTTTGCATCCTAGCCCTAGTCTGTCATTGGCTGTCAATGGTGTGTGGTGGGGGGTCTGGGATGGGGGAGTTCAGGGAAATCCTGGGTAGCTCCTAAGGGGCTCAAATCACTTCAGAGTGTTTCCTTAGAGAAAGTTTCCCTGCAGCAAAGCTGTAGCAGTGGCTACAGCATCTGGCCGGAGAGAGGCATGCTGGGGATCTGGGCAGCGGGGCTGCAACACCCGCTTCAGTGAGAGACTGAGATTTTCATGGAAATGTAGAGGCTGCTTCCTTCTCTAGTGAGGCAGGCACATCTCTTTTAGACATGCTGCCTCTCCTGTTGGTGCCTGCGATGAGAAGAATGCATGCCTTCTAACGATCATAGAACTAGAGCAAAGGAAGTGTTGTCTGGAAAATTTAAAAAATAATAAATGGGCTCTTAGAGCACGTGCGCTAAGAAAGGCAGAAGCTGTGTCTTCAGCTCTGTGATCACACCAGTCAGGTGGACCAGATGTGTCTTATACCTGAAGATGCTCGACTTCCTCGAAATGGTTGGGGGTTCTGTATGGATTTCTGTTAGACCGAGATACTCTGTGACCATCATTTTGCGTAAAACATAGTCTTCCTGAAAAAGAGAAGAGATCTCATCTGAAAACAGTAATTGGACTTTTGGAGCTGGATAAAGAGAGAAAAACTAGGTAAGTTTAGATGAGTTCTGGCTTTAAGGATATTGACATTGTACATCTTCTGAGCCATTAAAGAATAATATTCCAAAAGTGAAAAATTTCAAAAGAATAAGATTATTTCTGTATCTGAAAAAGCTGTGTGTTTGTTTTTTTCTTGTTGTTTGTTTTGTTTTGAGACAGGGTTTTGCTAAGTAACCCTGGCTGGTGTGGAACTCCCTATGTAGACCGGGCTGGCCTCGGACTCATAACGATCACTTTGTCTCTGCCTCCTGAGTACAAGGATTAGAAGCATGTGCCACCACACCTGGCTAAGCTGTGTGTTTATAGTGTTTCTCATATTAGAATGTGCATTTGCAGGCCTGCTATGGTAGTGCATGCCTGTAATCCCCAGCACTTGGGAGGTGGAGATGGGAGGACCATAAATTAAGGTTAGTCTTGGTTACACAGTGAATTCCAAGCCAGCCCAGGTAAGATGTTATCGCAATAAACAACAACAAAAAGCATTGTAAAACATTCATAAAGTATGTAAAAGCTTATGGAAAATAAGTGCAATAAAAAATATTCAATAAGGTCATTGTCCCTACTACTTCGCTATATCTATTCTTGTCAAGGTTCTGAGTGAGTCATTTTCGAATCTATTGGTCAAATACTGGGCATCGTCTACTGTTTGGCAACATTTTATTTGTTGAACATTCACATTTTTATAAGAGACAGGGTCTTACTATATTACTTTGGTTGGGACTAGCTATGTAGACCAGGCTGGCCTTGAACTCATGAAGATCCACCCGTCTCTGCCTTTCCAGTGCTGGAACTAAAGGTGTGTGTCACCACACTGGGCACTTCTTTTTTTTTCTTTTTCAGATTTATTTTTATTTTTAATTATGTGTATCTATGTGTGGGTATGTACCTTTGAGTGAAAGTGCCTTCAGAGGCCAGAGGCATCAGAACCCCTGAAGCTGGAGTTACAGGTGACTGTGAGTCATCCGATGTGGGTTCTAGGAATTGAACCCCTGTCCTCTGCAAGAGCAGGGTGTGCCCCTAACCACAGAGTCATCTCTCCAGCATAACACTCACTTCTTGTGGCTTTTAGGACCCGACTCCCCCCTCTCCCCCATTCTCCTCCTTCCTCACCAACATTCTTCTTCATTCTCTGCGAACATCTTTGTTTCCCGGACTTCTAAGCAGTTTTCAACCTTTAGGACACATCTTAGATGTAAGTTGCAACCCATCAAATGTAGGAGGAGGTACATAAAATTTTCATCATTGATTCAAAATCAAAATGAATGGAGATGTTTCCAGCAGCCTTTGCCCATGTTCCATCATGTGACACACAATATGTGCACCATGTCATGCCATACAACACCAAGGAACACCACCTGAAACACCTCGGCTCAGATTCAAGACTACTGTGCTATTATTAACTGCCATGTTTTCATTATATACACAAACTAATCTGCTCTTACAAACATAATGCTTTAATTGGGGAAAGAAAGAATATTTATTTATGTATTTATGATTTATTCTTCTCTCATACATTACACCCCAACCGAGTTTCCCCTCCCTCCTCTCTCCCTGCCCCTCCCCACCACCTTCCCTTTCCCCGATCCACTCCTCCTCCATTTCCCTTCAGAAAAGGACAGGTCTCCCAGGATATCAACCAAACATGGCATATCAAGGTGCAATAAGACTAGGCACCTCCCCTAATACTAAGGTTGGATGAAGCAACCTAGTAGGAGGGAAAGGGTCCTAAAAGCAGGCAAAAGGGTCAGAGACAACCCCACTCCCATTGTTAGGAGTCCCACAAGAAGACCAAGCTATACAACCATAGGAGCAGAGGGCTTAGTTCAGATCCATGCAGGTTCCCTGATTGTCGGTTCAGTCTCAGTGAGCCCCTAGGAACCCTGGTTAGTTGATTCTGTGGGTTTCCTTATGGTGGCTTTGACCCTCCTCCTGCCTCCTGCTCTCCTGCAGGGTTCCCTAAGCTCCACCTAATGTTTGGCTGTGGATCTCTGCTCCTATCAGTTGCTAAATGAAGCCTCTCTGATGACAATTATGCTAGTCTCCTGTCTACAAGTATAGCATAGTATCATTTTAATTAATTAATTAATCACTTTATTGCCAGTCACGTTTGGTTCTATCTTAGGCCTCTGGGCTGTCTAGCCTCTGGTTCCTGGCCCTCCACACAGTGTCAGAGGAAGGCGCCCTCTCACGGCATGGTTCTCAAGCTGGACCTTGGTCACCCACACAAGTTCTGCAGCACCTTGACCCCAGCAGCCTTGCAGGCAGGACAAATTGTAGGTTCAAGATTTTGTGGCTGGGTTGATGTCCCAGTCTCTCCACTGGAAGCCTTGCCTGGTTACAGGAGATGGCCAGTACAGGCTCTGTATCCCCCATTAATAGGAGTCTTAGCTAGGGTCACCCCCATAGATTCCTGGAAGTTTCCGTTATACTAGGTTTCTACGTCACCCTGAAATGCCCCTCCCCAGTTCCGGTCATCTTCCCAGTACTCTCTCTTCATCCCATTCCCACCTGACCCATCCTATTCCCGTCCCCACCCACCTCCAGTCCACTCTAGACATCTATTCTATTTCCCCTTCCCAGGGAGATTCATGCATCTCCCCCACCACACACACACACACACACACACACACACACACACACACACACACACACACAAAACCTTGAGACCTCCTTGTTACTTAGCTTCTCTGAGTCTGTGATTGTAGCATGATTATCCCTTCCTTTCCAGCTAATATCCACTTATAAGTGAGTACAGATCATGTTTGTCTTTCTAGGTCTAGGTTACCTCACTCAGGATGATTTTTTTCTAGTTCCACCCATTTGTCTGCAGATTTCATGATGTTATGATTATTTTTTAAAACAACTGAGTAAAACCTTCTGTAAATATACCACATTTTCTTTATCTATTTTCCCCCTAAGTATCTCACTTGCCTTATGGAGAAAGTCTGTCCTGGATCTGGTCATACTGGAGACCAGCTAAATTCTCCCTCACTGTCTTGCTCATCCACAAACGTGTGTGTGCAGGTTATGTGTGCCACACGTGTGGAGATCAGAAGACAAGTCTCAGTAGTTGGATCCGGGGATTGAACTCGTCACACCTGTAAAAAAGTGTCTGTGTGCTCTGAACCAGCTCCCCAGCCGACTCTTGCTCCTTCTTCATTTGGTTCAAAGATACTCTTTTTTGCCTAAGGCCATTTGTAATAGATTCTTCTTATGTGAAACTGAGAGTTTTGAGTTGGGGTCATAATTTTGTTGTGCTTTTTGTGTGTGTGGTTCTGAGATCTAACCCAGAGCCTTGAGCTTCCTGGCAAGTGATCTACCACTGAGCCACATCCCTGATGATAGGACTCTGAAGTATTAACAAGACACTAATATTTAATAACTGTATAACATTGAAAAGTTATGTTTTCAATGTTGCCTACCTGTTCAGAGCTAGGTTCAATAAAGAACGTGGTGATGGAGGCGATGCCGGATGTGACACTGAAGAGCCACCTGATGCCAGTGATGACCGTGTGCAGGATGTGCTCCCTGCTGTGGACGTGGTGATAGGCATTGCTGAAGGCCTTGGCAACACCCTGTGAAGACAGACAACTCAACTTGCGTTTTTTTAAACTGCAAAGTGGTCAGTAATAACTGTCTCTTAAGTTTATGACCAACAAATTACTTAAAAATCAGTTCTCAAAAGTACTCTGAGATTCTGTTAGGCAAAAAAGGATCATCAAGACATCAAAAGTGTAGAGAGGCCCATATAACTTTCTATGCTTTGCAACAGATATGTGTTGTCCGAAGAAGATAAACTTAGAAAGGAAAAGCCCTATTATTATTATTATTATTATTATTATTATTATTATTATTATTTTGTTGTTTTTTTTTTGTTTTTTTCGAGACAGGGTTTCTCTGTGTAGCTTTGCGCCTTTCCTGGAACTCACTTGGTAGCCCAGGCTGGCCTCGAACTCACAGAGATCCGCCTGCCTC